GGAGTGTGCAGAGCCGGGGTCAGGGCTTGGGGTAGAGGGGGAGGAGGCCAGCGGGAGGCTGGAAGTGGTGGGCAGGCGCCCGGCAGGGGGAACGCAGGACTCTGTGAGCTCGGCGGCCGCCCCTTGTGGTCAGAGAACTGCCTGCACATGACGTCCTGGGATGGAGCCTGGGTAGACGCGTCGAGGACCGCAAATGGCAAACAGATCCCAGGCAGCAGACCCACAGAGCCACACGGTGACCTCGGCAACATGGCCTTGGTTTTTCTTCTCAATGACGGGCTGACCGCGGTAACTGTTTCCCGGGCTCTGAGGACGGATGGGCGTGTGTCTGCGGGGGAGGCAGAATGCCACTGGCGCCCTCGCCAGTGCCACAGCGGCACGTGCCGTCTGCCCACCCAGCCAGCCGTCCCTCTACCCATCCAGCCAATCAGCCGTCTCTCTACCTATACTGCCAATCATCCACCATGCTGCCGTCCCAGCTGGGCGGGTCCCCTGGGATGCACCACTGGAAGTCCACGTGTTAGCCACCCCAGGGAGCTCGCTAGGAATGCAGACTGCAGACCCAGTGCCAGACGCACTAACAGGGAGGCTGTGCGTACAAGGGCCGGGTGAATCAGTCCCTGTGAGCGGGTGTGAAGGACACTGGAGGCCACGCCCAGAACCGGGCAGAGACCAGGCTCTTCAGGAGGCTGGTGTGGGTGAGCTGCCTCCACGGGGTCCCCACGGCCTGGACAGCCCCCAAGCCCCAGTCAGCGCGGCACGTCCCATGGGAACACAGCACATCCCGATTTTAGGGTCTGACCCAAGGAATCAGCTGCTTCCCTCGCGGCCAAAGACAAGAGGCAGAAGCTGGCAGAAAACGAGTTTAATGTATCCTACAACCGGGTCACGGGGAGACAGGTTGGCATTGTTACCAAAACACCCGCTCAAAGCAACACACAGGTGTTCCAGGATTTGCAGCCCAGATTCATAGCCCTTCACCCACCCCAGGTTCGAAGCCCACGTGCAGTTTCAGCACGACTCAAGATCTGTGGCAACATTTTCAGACGCATGACCCGTCTCCCTCCCGGTCACGCTGACATTTCAGATAACATTTTGGAATTCACAACGTGGTCCTTTACGGTTTTTTGAGGGGAAGGGGCCGACAGTTGCCACACTCGGGAGGAGGGGAAAGGCGCCACATTTAAAGGAATAACTTTAAAGTGTTTAAAACATCATTGTCACAGTCTCCTGCCCCCAGAGCCCTGGTCTACAACCATCCGATGTCCTTGTATTCACAGATGGAGGGGAGGTGGGCGGTGCCCAAGCCGGGCTTTCACACTCACGCCTGTGGGCTGCGGGCCGCGGGCTGCCCTCTGCATCTTGATGGATAGCGCTGGCCTTCAAACCAGTCGGGCAAGGCCACGCTAGGAGAGGAGGTGGCGGAAGGGACAACGTGCACGCGTAAGATCGGGCTGTGTCAACACTTGGCCCGGCTCTGCGACAGAGGGAAGATTCTTAGGCGATGCTTCAAGTCTTTTCTAAATGACTGTCGGACCCAGCCCGAAGGACCTCTTTTCAGCCTGTGGCGTGGACACGCGTCCCTACACGTCGCTGTGCAGGCACAGCCGGGTGCCCGAGGCTGCGGCAGGGGCGCGGTGGCTGAGGCCCCC